CAGTTAAGAATCTGGAAATAAGTAAGTAAGATTCTGGTAGTAAGATTCTTGAGTAAGATTAAGCAAGACCCCATTTCCCTTTTCATGCATGGGTTCTTGTGCAGGTAGCACTGGAGGCATCGGGCGGAAAGGAGGGTTTGTGCCTGTTTCCCATCCACTCATTCATCTTTCCCCATTTTCTTCAGTGCAAGTTACACATGCTCTGTTGGCTAGATGTGGGTATTGAGGAAACATATTATTTTGATACTATGGTAACCCTCCATGATGCCACCGACACTGCATTCAAAATGAACTGGATCATGCTCATCACATTTTTAGATGCAGTAACATAAATGATACTTAAAGATATGATTCAGGGTTAAATCTGTGTGTTATTGTTAAACATATCTATGTGTTTTCACATGGAGACACTCACAGCAGTGGCATCATAACACCAAAGTTCCCCAAGAAATTCACCTCAGTATTTGCTGAACGCATTGTATGAACATTTTGATGAACCTGGCTAATGGTCAGGATTAAACACATGTGATGTTATTTTAATATGTTGTTAGTCGTGAAGTCGTGTCCAACCCATTTTGCTTTCTTGCATTTCTTTTTCTTTAGGATGGTTTTAGTTGCTACCTCGTACAATGTTGTGAACCTCCAACCATAGTTCTTCAGGCACTCTTTCTATCAGATCTAATTCCTTAAATCTATTTGTCACCTCTACTGTATATTCATCAGGAATATGATATAGGTCATACCTGAGTGGCCTAGTACTTTTTCCTACTTTCTTCAATTTAAGCCTAAATTTTGCAATCAGAAGCTCATGATCTGAGCCACAGTCAGCTCCTGATCTACTTTTTACTGACTATATAGAGTATTTTTGGCTGGAGAGCGCATAGTCAATCTGATTTCTGTGTTGACCGGCTGGTGATGACCATGTGTAGAGTCATCTCTTGGGTTGTTGGAAAAGAGTGTTTGCTATGACCATCGTATTCTCCTGACAAAATTCTACCAGCCTGTGCCCTGCTTCATTTTGTACTTCAAGGCCAAACTTGCCTGTTATTCCGGTTACCTTTTGGCTTCCTACTTTAGCATTCCAATCCTCCATGATGATAAGGACATCATTTTTTGGTGTTCATTCTAGAAGGTGTTGTAGGCCTTCATAGAACCAGTCAACTTCAGCCTCTTCAGCACCAGTGGCTGGGGCATAGACTTGGACTACTGTGCTGTTGAACACTTTGCCTTGGATTTGAACTGACATCATTCTGTCATTTGTGAGATTGTGTCCCAGTATTGCTTTTCCTACTCTTTTATTGACTATGAAGGCTACTCCATTTCTTCTGAGGGATTCTTGCCCACAGTAGTATACCTGATGGTCATCTGAATTAAATTCACCCATTCCTGTCCATTTTAGTTCACTGATTCCTAAGATGTCGATGTTCAGTCTTGTCATCTCTTGTTTGACCACATCCAGCTTGCCTTGATTCATGGATCTTACATTCCAGGTTCCTATGGAGTATAGATCTTTGCAGCATCGGACTCTCCTTTCACCACCAGATACATCTGCAACTGAGTGTCCTTTCGGCTTTGATCCAGTCGCTTCATTCTTTCTGGCGCTACTAGTATTAGCCCTCTGCTCTTCCCCAGTAGCATATCGGACACCTTCCGACCTGAGGGGCTCATCGTTTTGCCTTTTGGTACTGTCCATGGGATTTTCATGGCAAAGATACTGGAGTGGGTTGCCATTTCCTTCTCCAGTGGATCACGTTTTGTCAGAGCTCTCTGCTATGGCCTGTCCGTCTTAGGTGGCCCTGCACAGCATAGCTCATAGCTTCATTGAGCAATGCAAGCCCCTTCGCCACGACAAGGCAGTGATCCATGAAGGAACTGTTTATATTACCTTTTTCATATTATAATATTGTGTTTATATTACCTTTTTCAATCATATTTTAGATCTGAAATTACTCTTGCAAACCACAGACTATGGGAACTTCTTAGCCAACGAAACCGGTCCCCTCACAGTTTCTACCATTGATGACAAACTAAGAGCCAAACTAGTGACAGAATTCCAGTATTTCCGAAACCATGCCTTTGAGCCACTCTCTACATTCCTAAACTATATCACGTATGTAAGCTAATCACATTATGGAATTACTAGAAGATGATAAAAAGAAGGTAAATACTTTTGGTATTGAATATGTGTGCATGTGTGTACATTTAAGAAGTATGATTCATAAGATGCTGGCCATACCTTCCATATGCCCAGCCAGCAATGGGAATTGTCAAGGTTTAACTCAATCCTACTTTAAATTTAATGATCCACAATACTCAAAAAGTGGTTTAAAAATCAAGGTAAAATAATGCCATGTGGCAGCTGTGGCTTCGTTTTGATCAAGCTCAGTTCTGCTATCTAGTCGTACTGAGGCAGCACTGTCCCTGCTGAACAGGCCCAGCATCCACAACTTGTATCCTTGGACAGCTACTCTGGGGCCTTCTAGGGCTTAAAAAAACCTCAAGATTTGTTCTGGCCTGACACACTGAACAGTGCCAAGTGGCTAGACCAAGCTACTGTTTTAAATTACCCAAATGCTGCTGACCTAGCATTCCTTGGAGGAACTGCTGGAAACATACTGCCCTGCCCTGCAGTTCTTCCTTGAATTCCAGCTTCTTTTCCCACAGGGCACTGCTTTTCCTACTCTTTTAGTGACAATGAAGGCTACTCCATTTCTTCTGAGGCATTCTTGCCCACAGTAGTATACCTGATGGTCATCTGAATTAAATTCACCCATTCCTGTCCATTTTAGTTCACTGATTCCTAAGATGTCAATGTTCAGTCTTGTCATCTCTTGTTTGACCACATCCAGCTTGCCTTGATTCATGGATCTTACATTCCAGGTTCCTATGGAGTATAGATCTTTGCAGCATCAGACTCTCCTTTCACCACCAGATACATCTGCAACTAAGTGTCCTTTCGGCTTTGACCCAGTCGCTTCATTCTTTCTGGAGCTACTAGTACTAGCCCTCTGCTCTTCCCCAGTAGCACATTGGACCCCTTCTGACCTGAGGGGCTCATCTTCCGGAGTCATATCTTTTTGCCTTTTGGTACTGTCCATGGGATTTTCATGGCAAAGATACTGGAGTGGGTTGCCATTTCCTTCTCCAGTGGATCATGTTTTACTGAATACATCCTGTTGATATTTTAACTGTCATTGGGATGGAACAGGCTAACTCCTTCTCTGTTTTCAAAATGCCTTGTATCCCATGGTTCACATATATTACAACACCATATATTACAACAGGATCAAATTATGATATTGGAAAGTCAACAGCTGACACACCCATTTTCCTCAGGCCTAGGTTTTCTAGCTTTGAATGCTTTACGTATTCACAACTGCCCAAATTTGCATTCAGAGAAAGACAAGACATTTTCTGTCAGGTAAATCAGAATATAGGCTACTGTATTTCCATACAGAGTATTTTACCCAAAACAGAACAGAGAAAGGAACAGACATATTCAAATGAAATTTACTTAAATGCAACAAACTAAACAGGTAGCTGGCTAGTGACTAATTAGTGACAGATCTGTCATATTCCTAAGTATTTAGGACTAAATTGTGCCCTCAGATATTTGTGCAAATGTAAAGGTCCTGAATGATTGCTGGTAATGGAACATTCTGTTGCACTCAAGCATAACTTATTTAATTTGTTTTACCTGACTTTCTATCCTGGCATCCTTGGAAATTATTGCTAGGAAAAAATCTATAAACCCACTATACAAACAAACAAACACATACATTTCTAACAAAAGACAAAGCCCTATTATGTGGAACTAACCCTGCCATATGTACACAACAGAATACACATTGACACATGTGTCCATCAGATCTTCACCCAACCATCAGATCTTCACCCACTCTTCAATTCTAGAGCCAAATGATAAGGCTCTGTGAGAAAGAGGTAGTCTAGAATGTGGAAAATGTCATCAGCTGCCAGGAACCAGAAGACTCAGTAGATCAACAGGGTGATGGTGGTGGAGCTTCTGCGGGCTGTCATTTCTATTATCCACCAGGCAAAGCCTCCATCTGCAGGTACTTCTTCCCCCACCCTTGGAGAGAATAGCCTCACTTCTCAATTGCTGAAGCCCAAAATAGATAGTCATACAAATCTCTTCTAAATTATTTTTTGTCTGAATTTTATTGCAAGCTGTTTGGACAATCAATCTGGGTTAAAACATGGTGCATACTTATAATCAACAAATTATAATGGTTGAATTTACAGGGCCCCAAGCTGACTATCTTGAATTTTCAACATTATGAAAGGACATAAGTCTGAGATCCTAGTATACCACTTACTGGTCAAATGGTCTAATCTCTATAGAGCAGTTCTGTTCTCATTAGATATTGCTTTTTTAAATCCTGTATCCTTGAAGAAAAGTTCTCCTATAGAATTCAAACCTCAAACCACCATGAAAAAACCAAAGCAAACCAAAAGCAAAAACACCCTCACATCAATGCACTGTTTCGTTGTTGTACTACTTAAACAAGGGATGGGCAACCCTGTCTAGGTCTTCTGGGAGTTTTGGCCTAAACATCCGGAGATGACAACTTGCCTGCTCTTGATTTAAAAGGCACAGGAAATATGCAATGAGTCCTTTCATGCCAGCATGATTCTCCAGATAGAATCAGGTGATTTTCTCACTTTTCAGTCTGAGGGCTGCATTCCCTAGTGGACAACCCTCTTAGGACTGCATGCCCATAATGGTCTGGACCTAAACAACACAGCCCACCCACACACACAAATATAATCACACACAAATGTGCTCCCTCCCAGGAAGGAGTCAGGCTTTGAAAAACCTCTAGGTGGAGCCAGTGCGAGGGTTTTCAAACCCTGATTGCTCCACAATGTAATTTTTTTTGGGTGGTAGTGATGGGGGCACATTGCTCAACTATATCAAAGTAAACATCACAATATTGACCTTTTAGTAGAATGCCAAAGAGGGTCTATGAGATGCTTACCTGTCTGGAGTTCGCCTCTTCCCGTTTTCGTTCACATCGAGAAGCAGCTCTGAGGAGTCAACAGGTGAGGTGGTGCTGGCATCCAGAAGCAGCTGCTCATGCTGAGCGAGGTACTGGGCGGGGTTCTGCTTGGCCAGCCTTGCACAGTGCAGGAGCTCCCGCTGTAGCAGGGGCAGATTGGC